GAGACATAGGGCCAAGACCAAGTCAAGATCAAGACAAAATGGGCTCAAGACCGAGATGGTGCTGAAATCAGGCCAAGCAGTTTCAAGAACAAGACCAGATATCAAGAACTATAACTCTGATTAACACTATTGCACATACAGTAAAAGCAGCAACAGTACTGCTGCTGTCCCTAATGTACATTCGAGAGAGTAGATGATGGTGTATGCACTGCAGTAAACTTAGCTTCATGATCGGTATACAGTTTTCCGGCTTTAAAATATTTGAACCAAAGCAAACTAGGCAGTTTCATAATGCAGTGTTTTGTTTTGCCCCGAATCCTGCTCCTGTGTCCTTAGTCGCACATTTCGCAACAGAATGTCAGAACTCTGCAAGCCACTGGTTCATCTCTCAGGAGAGCCTCTGACTCTCTACGTCAGGGTTATTCAACTCACGGTCCTCGAGGTCCGAGCACTGCTGGTTTTCCAGCCTTTCTTTACCTGTCAGTCAGGTGTGAAGCCTCTGACCAATCAGAATCAGTCATTATTAAACAACTACCTGGGAGAACTGAAAACACGGCCTGGATTTGGAATCGAGGTCCACAGTTGAAGAACCCTGCTCTACGTCATGGCATGCTCCCTCTCCCTAGTCACCAATCTCAGACCTCTGCCCCATCATCCGGTCCACATGCCACATGGTTAACCAGCAAACCTTTTTGGATGGGGTTGTTGTCATTGTGAATGTCATTGATGCTGTCATTGACATTGTCCATGTTGAGGCCATTGTGGATGTGGTTGTCGTTATTGTGGGTATCGTTGATGCTGTTGTTGATATTGACATTGGTGGAGCTGTTGTTGGTTTGACAGTGGTGGTTATTGATGTTGTTACTGCCTGGATGCAGGTGTCAATGTTGACGCTGTCGTGGATGGGGCCATTGTGGATGATGTGGCTGTTGTCATTGTGCATGTCTTTGATGCTGTCATTGACGTTGCGATGTTGGGGGAATTGTGGATGTCCTTCTTGTTGTGGGTGTGGGCTTATTGATGTCATTGAAATTGTTGTGCTTTGTGCCTGACAACTAAAAAAATTGTTGTGCTTTGTCCCTGGTCTTGCCTGTGTCTGCTTCATGTCCTAGGTAGCATTCTGTCTTGTCCCGTCTTGTTCCCTGCATGTCTTGTCATCCCGTCTGTTGTCTGCCCAGTTTTTCTGCCCCTGCGGTCCCCTTCTCTACCAATCCTTCATGCCTCGATGGCATCCTTGAGGGGTACTGTCACGCCCCACCCAACCAATCCTTCCGTTTCCTTCCCCAGTGTGGCACTAATGAGCCACGCCTGTTTACTATTAGTTTTACAGTACCTCTCATTCTTGCCCTTCTGTGATTCACTCCAGCTGCATCTCATTGTTCTTCCTTGTCCTTGTTATGTGTACTTTGCACTCCTGTGCTTTCTCGGGACCCAAGCTTTTTTATGACGGACTGAGCCAAAGTGGAAAACTGTCCAGTGGTCTGATAAATTAAATTTTTAATTTTTTTTTTTTTGGAAATCATGGACGCTGCATCATCTGGGCTGAAAAGGAGACAGACCGTCCCAGCTTGTTATCAGCACACAGTTTAAAAGCCAGCATTCATGATAGTATAGGGCTGGATTAATGTAAATGGAATGAGTGGCTTGCACATCAGGAATGATACCATTAGTGCCGAACAATAAATACAGGTTTTGGAGCAACATATGCTGCCATGCAGATGATGTTCTTCAGAGAAGGCCTTCAGCAAGACAAAGCCAAACTGTATTTTGCACATATTACAACAGCATGTTTCTATAGTAAAAGAGACTGGGTGATAAACTGGTTTCCCAGCATTCTAGACCTGTCACCCACTGAAAATATTTAGAGCATTAAAAAATGGAAAACCTCAAGAAAGGACGCCCCAAATTGTTGAGAAGCTGGAATCCTACATCAAGCAAGAATGGGGTAACTTTTCAGTCTCAAAACTACAGAAATTGGTCTCCTCAGTTTCCAAACACTTATGGAGTGTTGTTAAAATAAGTGGTTCATGCAACACAGTGGTAATCATGCCCCTATCTCACTTTTTAAACATGTGTTGCAGACATCAAATTCAAAATGAGCATATTTTTTTCAAAAATCAATAACATTTTTCAGTTTCAACATTTTCTGTTGTCTTTGAACTTTTCTCAATTAAATATAAATTATAAATAATTTGCATTCTCTTTTCATTTATATTTTACACAGCATGTCAGGGTCGGAGCCCATTCGACCCTGCCTTTCATGTCTCCACCCTGTTTGGCCAGCAGGTGGTGCTGGCCATCCTGTCGTCCTCCATGTCATTTGCTTTGCAGCTCCCCAGACCGCCACATAGCTGAGTGGGCTGAGTGTTCGGTTCAGATTGAGGAGTTGTGGGTTCAAAGCTGGCTAGGAACAAGCCTCATTGGTTTTGTTTGGGGTTTTTTTTTTGGTTTTTGGTCTTCCCTAGTATTACTGGTTATCAGTGCTTTCCTGGTTTCGGTGGTTTTGTATTTCAATTGGTTCTTTTTCTTTTGCTTCTTGTTTTAGTTAAAACTTAGTGTTTGTTATTTTTTCTTAGTCTCCAGTTTTGTTTGACTGTAATATGCCACACCGATTACTTGTTTGCCTTGAGTCCTTGTGATTGGTTAATTGATTATGTTTCTCACCTGTCCTGAATTGTGTTTTGTTAGCTGTGTATTTAAGTGCTTGTTTTTGTTCTGTTCTTTGATGATTAATTGTAGTTGTATGTCTGCTCAGAGTGGTTGTTATGCTATGCTGCCTACTCCTGCTCCCTGTGTTCTTTCAATGTTCAAGTAGTGTTTATTCCATGCTTTAGGTTATTCCTAGTTTTTGTTTTTCCCCATTTGCTTTTGGGCCCTCGTGGGCCTTTTCTTTTTGTGCTTTCACTGTTGCGTTCTATTGTTAATAAACCCCTTTGTCTTGGGGCTGCAAGTGGATTCACCTTCTTTGTCCTGCCTGCACCATGCCACGCCGCAACACAGCATCCCATTTTTTTGGAAACAGGCTTATAGAAGTATAATTAAAAAAATTTCTTAAAGTAAACTTTAATATACCCATACATTCTTAACAAGGAATAATATAGTATTAATGCAGTCTAAAAAAATGACATCACACAAAAACTATGGGTGACTGCAAAATTCTGTACATTCCTGAAATCACCATTTAAAAGTTCACGAGACACCCCTTAGTTGTTTTGTAACAAAAGTGTTGTTGAACAGCATTATTTATAATACAGACGACTCTAGATTCAGCACCCTTGAGGCCAACAGTAGTAATGAGAAGAATATCCCAGTGTGGCCACTATTGTTTTTCTTGTAAGTATGTCATTGTGTTCACACATCTTTACCATATATATGAGGGTATTTACTATTAAATGATGTGTATATATTTTTACATATATGCAAGTTTCAAAAAAAGGTAAGATGGGCGGCACTAAGTGCTTCACTTCATAACAGGCAGAAGCAACAGAGGAATAAAATAAATGAAACATTCAAATAAAAGGACAAAATGTGAGGTATAAGAAAAATAAAAGAAATTAAATCAAACACATTACGAAACAAATCAAGGAACGAGTATGTTTGCAAAGGCTGAACGATGAAAGTGTGTTTTGAAATAAAAATGGCTACTAAGTCAGTTGATCTAATGCTTGGAGAAAAGCTGATTGTAAAGAAGATGATTGTAAAGGTCTACTGTTTGATAGGGTACTAGCATATCAGATGTACACTCCAGAGTTAAACCATGCAAGGCTTTAAAATTAATCAATAAAGCTTTGAAATAAATTCTCAGTTGAACTGGTAGCCAGTGACGTGATGCCACAGATTCCCCCCCCCCCCCCATCAGCTGTCCTTCCAAACGAATGTCAGCTCTTCAATGTCAAAGATATATTTCCTAAATGGAAGAGAACAATGGCCATGAGCAGTGAACTGGTACACCACTAGATAAAAAGTGAGGTTAAGGAATGCTGCTACCATTATGTACTTAAGTAAAGTGTAATAACCTTCAAACTATAATTAAAACACTCTATACCTCAGAAACATAATGGTAATTTTCTTTCTCCTTGAAGAACATCACAACATAGAGAGGGTGGCTTTGATCAATAAAATTAATATCAACTGCTTCTACAGTAGAAGTGGGACACATACAGAGTGTGAAAAAATGCCTGTCAAATCCTGTTGTGTTCCACTTTTTATACCTTTTATATACCTTGACTGCAGAGTCAATTACCACAATGGCCTGGATGGTTCCAAACTGAGGCTTACCATCAGACGAGTGAGAGACCAAAGGCATCACTCTTAGACTGTAGGTAGTGTCCTTAAACTGAACCCATGAAGGCAAGTAGACTTCTGACAAAAGTGGGAAATCACATTTCATCTTTTCAAAACGGTCTATGGAACCAAGGCGTGCGGTAAATCCTGGGCCAACTTCAAAGTCATGCAAGAACATCTGTCCAAAAAAGAGGTTGTAGCATGACTTCATCTGGTGTCTGCAAGCTAATGTTTTACAAAATTGCATGCAACTTGGCTTAGCCTTATGAAAAACTCATGTTTTCCCTAAAAAACACACGGACCAAAATTGCACCAATGGTCCAAGTTTCAGGATGGAACTAGGATAGTGGAGCATGAAGTGGTGTTTAGGCTTTAGATGCCTATCCAGATAAAGGTCCAAAAGAAGGCAATGGTGTTCCTGGATTAGATACCTTGAAAAGATGACTGCCTCTGGTGTCAAGGCAGGAGAAAAGATCATCTTCATACAGCTTAGCAATAAAAGTAGTAGTTCCTAGTGTTTGTTACCATTGGGAACCTAGTCAAGAGGGTCCCCAGCTGTCCCTAGAATGAAGGGCCCTGGCCACATGTCCAAGTGACAACCACGTGCCCAACCCACTGAGGAGCATGCGAGGGAGCACCGGGACAACAGCTCCTGGCGCGAGAGGCCCCAACAGATGACAACAGGCAGGAAGCCACCAACCCAGCTCACAACCATCAGCCCCGGCGCGAGCCGGGTCCAGAACCAACGAGGCCCGGAAGCCAGACACGTGTGTACATCTCAGTGGGAGGCCCACCATGCACCAGAGAGGTCTGAGCCCCCCAGACCCCGTCCCCCCGGGGCAGACCACAGCCCACTGTGATGACCTGGCATGCCGCCACCAGTAGTGCTGGAGTACCCGGAACACCTGCCAGGACCCCAACCCACAGTGTCATGGCCCAGACCCCCACCTGGCCCACCACCGCCAGAGGCAGCCGCCCCACCACTGGGACTGCAACACCCCCAGGACCTCTCCATCCCACCCCAACACTGCACAAGCCCAGAGAGAGGGGATCAAATGTTCCCCCCCCCAAAAAAAAATAAAAACATGGTGTATTAGGGCTAGATGGGCTGTATGGATAACTGAGGTGCATTAAAATTGGGTGAGTAGGCTGGGCATGAGCACCCCACCACTGGCAGACAGTAGATCCTTGCATGTTGTAGGATGACTATTGTGCAATTAAGATTAAGTGGCAGTGCAATGGCCAATGGTAGGGTCTGTAGGCCAGGTCATGTGGCGTCACCCAGCCCTTCGACCTCCACCCCGGAAGTCAGAGTGGCGAAGCCCCACTACCCCCAACAACACTACATGATGAATTTAATTATAGGCGTCCAAGTGAATTACTAACCTAATGTTAAATCTAGCCATAATTATGGATTTAAGTTGAAGATTTTTTAAATATTTGTTTTTATCAATGCCATAAAGTTAAACCATTTTGTCAAATGGTATGAAATTATTATCTTGAATGATATATTCCATGTGTCTTATTCCATTATCATACCATCATGCTACTTCTATGAGCAGAATGTGGGCACAAAATAATTAGCTATTTTGATGATGTGAAAATGAGCAATGCGCTGGTATGAAACTAGCAAAACCGCTTTGTGTTGCACTTTGCGCCGGTGGAAAATAGGGCCCTATATATGTCAGTCGTGTTTGCACAGACCACCGTGGACAGCTAGTCACTCAAACCTATAAGTTGTTGCCACTTATAGCTCCTTCCACTCCTTCACCAGAAGTTACACCCATAATCATTTCCTCAGTAGTGCTCCTAGGAATGAGGTGGGAACTTGTCCAGGCAGGGTCCAAAAACACATAAAAGAAGTATAAATACCAATATGCTTTAATATAGTCTTCATTTAGACAAAGTGTACATGAATCTACCATAGACTTCCAGGGAAACACGTCATCAGTTTGGTGTCTATAGGCTATGTTTATCCTGCGCAGATGGTCTGGTGGTGCCAGGAAACGAGAACACACTTGCTGCCACCTCATCCCACACCTGCTTCATTTGAAAGGCTTCAGGCCCCCGTAGATGACATTCTCATGCCTTTTCACCCTCGCACACGAGCACGTCTGTTTCCTTGGCCGAAAAGCGATCTGTAATAGCAATCCACATTAGATCACGCACCGCTGCATTCTAAGTGAGGTGACGTACCATTCCAATTGGATCATTGCACGTTACGCCCAAAACACGTTAGGACAACCCTTTTTCCACTTTGCAATTGCGCAAAGTCTGGTTTTTGGACACACCCATTAATGTTAGTTTCACTTTGCACTTTACGCTTTGAATTAGATCATCAAAATAGAGCCCATTGTCTTTAGATGTGAGTGTATGACTTTAGTCTTTAAAACATCTTTTTAAAGTCTTTTAGTGTATGGTTAGCATACCAGAGGAAAGGAAACCACCTGCCTCTCTAGACAAACAAAATAAAAAAAACAAAACAAAAAATCCCCCAAAGAAAAGTCAATCCCTACAACTGGTGCACATACATATATAATCAAATGAGCTACCAACACAAAAGGGCAAGAGTGACAATCAGTCTAGTTAAGCAATCGAGATTCAAAAGCCAGAGAATCAAATAAATGAAAGGCGCAATAACTGAAAAAACTGAAGGAGCAAGAACAACAAATAAAATGCTGAACAAAATTAAATGCTGTGTCAGGTTGGAACCGGCATTCTATTCTATTCTATTCTATTTTATTCTATTCTATTCTATTCTATTACCAACATTCTATTTTATACAGTAATCCTACGAGTGATTTGTGGGGGCTGCCATCTTGGAGTGCCAGCATTACTCCCCTGGCACAACGTGGCCTGCTGACAGCAGCTGACAATGAAAGCAGCATGAATAGATAGAATGATGACGTTAGACAGTGGCCCCCAGTTACTGATTGACGTACGTTATATGGCTGCTGATATTCATGTTATTCAAACTTTACATATTAGTTAGACATTGGTTATGACAAGAGCCAGAAACAAAAACAAAAAATGAGATAATTTGAGGGTACAAATATACTTCAATAATGCTTAACTAATGATGATTTAATGCATGAATAATACAAGATATATTATGAATTCATGTCATTCACCATGAACTAATGATGAAGTTCACCATGGCTTTATCTGATCACACTTACTAGGTCATCAGTTAAGAAATGTTAATTAACAATCACTTCATACATTATTTGATATGCAACCAAAATTATCTAACCAAATAAAAGATATTCCATCATCCTATATCTCATTTTGAAAATATATCAATATTCTGTAAAAATTTAATATACTGCCCAGGCCTATTAGGGAATGTTTAAATTGCTCTTCATGTGGTAAAGGCTTGTGGCGGAGCTATCGAAGTGGATCTGCTCCCACACAGCTCTCTGTTTTTTTTCCACCAGCACTCCTTCACACCTCTATTTTTAAATACCTCTGCATTGCTGTAAGCCTTTTTGGGTGGAAGTGTCCCCTCCATACCTTTATATGCACCACAGGTGTCAGACTCCAGTCCTGGAAGGTCAGAGCCCTGCACATTTTTGGGTTTCCCCTCGTTTAACACACCTGATTCAACTTCTTGTGCTAATTATCACATAGCTGTTCAGCTGAATTGTTTGTGGTGGAACAGGGAAAGAACTAAGCTACAAAGGGCTGCGGCCCTCCAGGACTGCAATTTGACATCCCTGATATACACCATTAGTGTATCTGTTACGGTTATTACGCTTATGTCACCGACAATGATCATAGTGCAAAAGAGGAAAAAAAATAGAACACAAATATTTCAACATGTGAAACAAGGGTTTCAAACACTCCAACAGCCCTATTTTCAGTCTCATCCAGGTGATGTCATCCTATCTGAAATCTCAACCCGAGACAGTTGCGCACGGTAATTTTTTTGTTTAATTATAGCAGGAAAGTTCTTGGACAGAAATTAGTTGTATGTCTTTCAGAGTAAATCTTGCAGTTCCACCAAAAATCCTTTGAAGTTTCAATTGTACCTGTGATGAAAATAAAGAATTTACACAACAATAAAGTCATTGTTTACCACTATACAATGAAATTTGCATCAATCATCATTAACTGACTGCGTATTACAGGGTCAGTGAACCTGTAATCAATCTCACGAAGCAAAAAACACACAGGGAATGGAATGAGAGTCTATCAAAGGATACTATGGGGAGAACATGCAAATTCCAAAGAGTAGGTTGATCATTACCTCCTTAAGATGAAGAAGATTAATAATAATATACTATTATGCTAAGCTTCTATAAAAGATACTATACTATCGAATTAGCCACATACACAAATTAAGAAAAAGTATGATGTATAAAGATTTAGTTGAATTCAAACATAAGACTGTAAAACAAAATTAAGTGTAACCATTTTGGCAGATACAAAGGAAGAGTTATCAAAAACCCAGACAAGGAAAGGGTAGAAATACAGAAAAAGTCAGCTTACCTGGTCTAAGTATACCTGAATCGCATTTTTATTAGGAAAATTGCCAGATAGAACAGTAGCTTGCAGTCTTGCAGCGGTGGAAGGTGGTGGTGTTGTATTTGTCGTTGCCGATGTGGATGTGGATGTCGTCGTTGTGGGTGTCGTTGTTGATGCTGTCGTTGGTGTTGTTGTTGTTGGGGCCGCTGTGGTTGTCGTCGTCGTTGGGGTCGTTGTTGATGCTGTCGTTGATGTTGTTGTTGTTGGGGCCGCTGTGGATGTGGTAGTCGTCGTTGTGGGTGTCGTTGTTGATACTGTCGTTGATGTTGTTGTTGTTGGGGCCGCTGTGGTTGTTGTCATTGGGGGTGTCGTTGTTGATGCTGTCGTTGATTATGTTGGAAACCAGAAATACAAATATCAATAATTTTCCCGTACGTCACATATTATGTGTGTATTTTACAGCAACAATAAATGTAATTTTACAATTTAGTTTTTCACATCATTGTAGTCATATTATCTTGAAAAATATTAAAGTGATAATCTGAATACCTTTACTGACACAACTTGAGTATAGACAAGGTCAATAATGTATGGAAACTGAATATACCTTTATACTTTTTTACAATACAATATTTCATTTAAAATTCACTTTCTCACATCATTTAGCAAATATAATATCATAAATAAATGCTGAGACATTTTTGAGTATAATTTTCAAGAATACTATAGAAAGAATTTCACTGATATTACAGTTGTCATATATTACTTACTTGTTGTGGGCACTTGTCCCAATGATAAGGAGAAACCTCCCAATATCAGGAATAGATACAGCATTTTATTTCCGTGTTGAACCTACTAATGTGAATTTCTTTTCACAGCAAAAGAATGAGCTTCTATCTGGCTTGAATGAGGAAGTGTATTGAACTTATTCTTCTCAGGGATGGGAGGAGCTCTCAAGAATGATTCCTTGACATGTCATTCATCCAGGACATCTAATATGGTACAGATGTGTGTGTGTATATATAGTATATATAGACAACCACTTTAATAGCTATATGCATCCTTATCAAAGTGGCCACGAGAGTACTTTACTGGCCACACCTACAGTAAGGGTGGTCAGAATTTTTAAACCTACCAGAACGGACACGAGGGCAAAAATAAATTCTCAGTATAGCATGATTGTGATGTGCTGAAAAGCTTGTCTGAATGTGCAGTGATTATGTAGGCAAAATATTGTTCTACCAGGTACAATGTAGGGGTCTCTAATGAAGTAACCACTGAATGTAATAGAAATAATATAGATAATCCTTAATTTACTGTAATTTAAGTTATATCAATTAAAAGAACTTGTGAGCCGGTGGCACCTAGCTGTGACATTTGACAGGTATGTTTGTTTGGAATGAGTGATATAATGAGTATTTTCGTTTGGAGTATATGTTGTGACAGGTTCTCTGTATATATTTTTTAAGCAGCAGGGAACTGAAATTGACAATGAACTGAACATTACACAACATCTGTGTCTCGCAATTGTATGGAATGACAGTTTTATGATTAATTATATGTGTCATTAAGTAACAAAAAGCAGATATACTGCCATTACCACACCCACTGCCTTTATGACACTTACCTTGACACGGAAAATTCTAACACAAATATTTTCTACTTAATAATAAACATTCATTTTACATAAAACTATTTTACAGATACTTTGGTGTTTTAAGTAAAGCTTAACATTTTATATAAATATAATTATGTACAATTGTGCACAAACATCCAATAATGAACTGTTTGAGTCATTTATGCATTCTAATGATTTTGAAATGTGTAGATTCTTTTAATCCAGTTATATCTCTAAGATAACATTCTCAAATCTTACTGTACATTTTGATGTTTACCACTTTAATTGTAGCCTTTTTGGGAGAATTATTCCATTAATCTTTAAAGCAATGAAGTCACAGCTGTTCACTAGACCAGACGTCTTCTTACCCCCATTGACCCCACAAGCCTGTTGTATGTCCCCAAAACCTGTCATCTACCTGTCGATTTGGTTTTTGTTACAGTTTTTATTTCCTTTTTGCATTTCCACAATGTGTCCTGTCACTCCAGTTCCAGCTGCACCCAGTTGCCTGAATTTTTTTTCCCCTAAATAAAGATCCTGTGCTCTGCCTCACCCTACAAGTCATGGTTCTGTTACACCTACCATCCAAAGACAGATTCTCAGGGTGAAAGATGTCCAGTTGTATTTTTTATGTTCTGTTGTATTTCCTGGCAGTTATTACCTTAGGTATTACCTTCTTCTGTAGCAATACCTGGACTTTTCATTAAAGCACAAAGAGAATTAAGTCTTGACAGCGCGGACGTCACCGAGAGACCCATGCCCAGGTCCACGGTCCTCGTGGTGGGAGGCGGGGCCGCTTACATTGAGGAGGAGCCGCTGCTGCTTGAAGACCCCCCCGACCAGCTGTGCCCAAAGCGCACAAGTACTCAATGATGCAGATGCGGCTCACATGACAGAGCGTGCAGTCACATGTTCTGGAGGGGGGGGCCTTACCAGAGTGAGGAAGCTGAGCTGCGGCCAGAGGAAAGCTTTGAGCTGGTCCCACTCACTAGGGTGGGGGCAGGAGAGGGCGGGGGCAGACTGGCCTACAAATAAAAGCACAGGCATTTTCCATTCACCCAGTTCTGAATTTTTGTCGTTTAAAAAAGTCTGCTGCAGTACGAATGTCCTCTGATGTAAAGGTACCACTATAATCACCAGGATCAACTAACTTTAATCCCAAAGCATATAATTTAATTATCTTTGTGCTGATCTATCTTTACCTTTAATGTAATTAGTAAAATGCCTTAAATACCATAACATGTTTTAACCACAGAAGAGTCCTGATAACATTTGAAATTTCTGACAGAGGCTGTCAGAGGATTGTATCACTGCAAGACCCTTGTAAATGCTCCCAGCAGATAAATAGCTAACCCTGAGCTCTGAGCCCAATCTTTGCTCTCACCAGTGTCTGTGTGTCTCATAGGAGAGTAAGATGGGATTTACAAAAAAAAAAAAATCCGGTGTACCAGATACTTGTACAAATGGCAAAACAAATATCTCCATTTCAGGTTGCCAAGGATATTACATGTTTGCTGTGCTCTATTCTGTACCTGTGCTGTTAGTCTTATGTGTCAGTGCACTGTGAAGTAGTCCTTCCTCATTTTTTACAAGAGCATATTATGATTTGAATTCAAAAGTTGGCCAAGATGCAAAGGATTATTGTTGACAGGGGTGAGGCAGGGCGTAACCATTTTATTGCTGAATGACTTATTTGAGGGAGACTCTCACCAAAGATTTTGAAATTAGTTACATAATATTATCACGGCAGTTTTGAAATGTTGAACCTGAATTCCAACTAACAATTTTAAATTGTGTAAAGATTAAATAAACAGGAACTAAACAGAACGGTTTAATAATTGGTGGAAGAAAGTATTTCTACTCAAATATGCGTTTTCATCTTGTAAACATGAAAATAACATTTTGTCTTCTTGTCTGCCAGGTGAAGCACTGATGCTTCATCTGTTTGAGCCTCATACAGAGGGACGTGCATGTTAGACATGGGATTATTGTGAGCTCTGACATCAGTAAGATCTCCTGGCAGCATCTCACACCAAGACCTACCCATGGGCACCACTGACCATGATAACATGGTAACACTTTAACTTTGCCGTTATATGGCATCAGTCCTCTCTGAGTAACAGGTACAGACCCCTCCCAGTATAATGGTCAATGAATAGATAGAATAAAAGCATGTAGGACATTTCATAATGGGCAGTTTCATAAAAAATATTTTCATGTTTACTTCCTTGTATGACTGAAACATACTTCCTGTCATTTCCTGTAGTTTATTTAAGGAATCTCTGACAGGTTCTGGGATACTTCTGTTCTTTGATTATTCATTTCAAAGAACCACATTTTATCCTATTTTTATTTCATTCCTGCTTCCTTCCAGGCCATGGCTTGTAACTGCTCACAGCTACAGTGAAATATGCAGTGTTCTTGGGCAGGAAAACGGCAACACTGCAACAGGAACATTACTAACCTAGGTAATGAACACAATCATTTAGAATATTCAAAATACCTGTATTTTCTTTTATATTTTTCTTCTTTAATATTTGTATATTAAGTTATAGTGATATCTCATTATTTTAAAAATTCAACTGTACTAAAGCTAATGTGTATTGCTCTAACAGTGGCGGTGGATTCTGGGAAAATGGAAATTAGATAACACTGCACAACCAACATACCCGAATATCATCCTGTAGCTCTTTAATTTGCCTTCTTTTATATTTATACCTTTCCTCTGCAGCTCTCTTTAGCTCCTCTAGTCTGAGCTTCTCCTGATATTCCTCACCTAAAAACACAAAAAGTGTTATGCAGAATGAACATCATAAAAGGTTAAGTGGTTGCAGCGGAGGGTAGATTTGAAACATAGCTGGTGAATGGACATCCTGAAATAACGCATCACGCCTACTTCAGTGGTATTGCGGCTGTTGACCACGTGCAGGGTGTTCTCCAGAGCCTGGATCTCCTTCTCTGCCTTGCCGATTTTAGCATCCAGATCATCCTCCTTACGCTGGAGCTCTTCCTTCTCCTGTGCAGCCTGAAGGAAGGAATAAAAAACAGATATACAAACAAAGATGCTTGGCTGCTTTAGCAGCTTGAAAAGCGCTCACCTTGATGATGTAATAAGCTTGAGACGTCTCCTCTTCACCCTCGGGGCTCAACCAGTCATACTCTCCATGTTGATCTTGGACAATCTTTCATGAACTTCAGCGCTGACATGAGAGGCCAACACAAACACAAACATGCCACATTCTGCTCTAATTATTCTTAGAATAAATTAGGCATAAATACTGATCTGGGGTGGAACAATGGCTCCGCAGTTGGCAGAATCATTGTCTGTGTGCGTGTGAAATTTGCAAAATCTCTCTCCATATTGTTTGGGCGTCCTCACAGTGTGCATGCATAGTGTGTGTATAGGTTGTTTTGACAACTGTCTCCCGTAATTATTCAAATAATTAATGTCATAATTTTGATATGGCTACATTTCACTTACCTTGTTCTGGACAAATGGCATGGGGGGGTGTTATTCTTCCTCAAGAAGTCTGCATGGTGATTGACAGGTTTCACTGGTCTCTTGTCTGGTTGTAATTAATTTTCTGTTGCTTGAGGGAGGTCTGGTCCATCTTGTTCAACCGGCTGTTGAGTTTGGACAGTGATGCTCTGCACCCTGTAATCTCTGCTTTTGTTTACATCTCTCTGGCTTTCAGGGTCTGCAGCTCCTGGGTCTTCTTGATCAGCGCCTCCCGGTGGTGGAAGAGCAGGGAATCCATCTTATACATGAAAGACCATCGGGTCATGCTCCGTTTGGAGTAGGAAACCATGTCACAGAGGTTTTTTACCATGTTTCACAGTAGTGCTACATCTGTAGTTTGACAAGCCATGTTTAATATCAAACATTTTAAAAAGAAATAACCTGAAATTGTACAAATGAGTTCAAGTATTACTATATACATCATTAACATTGTATTATTTTCAAAAACTGTCATTTATTAAAATATATTTGTCACTGAGATTTTGGTCGCTGGTGATATTAGGACTCATATTACATTGTCATTCTTGCTCGAATGAACTGCGTTCTTGAGTCAAGAGTCATCGTAAAGGAAACATCTTAAGGAATGAGAATGTGATTCCATCCTTGCTCATTTTATTTAGAAATGTATAGATCATTTTGCTTCTCAGACGGCACATAACTTCTACAAGTCACTGATTTTATCTGCTGTATGGGCTGGACAATTGAATTTTTTATATGAGTAATTCCACATTGTTGTGGGTTGGACCGGGGAAGCAGGAGCCAGAGCCGAGGAATCGGGTAGACTAGGGATTTATTTAGCAAACAACATAGAACACGAGGCAAAGCAAAAGACGGACGTTAATGACCGGACTGGGTTAAACATACCTAACACAGACTTAAATACACTGGACTAATCAACAACAAGAAGAAACAGCTGGTAAACACGGGGATTCCACACGAGGTAGCGAGGGGGCGTGGCACACAGGAGGATCGGATGAGCAGGGCATGACACAAATATCTTATTAAAGGAATTTAAATATAGTATCACAAGGTTATCATACCCCCCCAAAGGGCAGTCATTCAAAAAATCTTCCATTTTAAATCAGAATGTCACTGGTGTTACTGGTGGTACACTGTGGCACCAGTAACTAATGTTAATGTCATGAATGATCAGAATAATTTAAAAGCTAATTAATATGGAAGTTAGATCTCTGTGTCAATTTTGGCATTTTGCAAGATAAAATTGTTTGTTCCATCACTGGTGTTAAAAAGACAACATAACAAACAGATTTTTTTTTATTGTTATATGAAAAATATGTGCTCATTTGGAATTTGATGCTTGCAACATTGGGCTGTAACAATAAAAGACCGGAAAACCTGTGTAATGCTAAAAAAAACTGATGGAACATCTCACTACTAATTAGGTTAACTGGCAACAGGTCATTAACATGATTTGGTATAAAAAGGGCATACCAGAGTTGCTGAGTCTAGTGATGGGCAGATGAAGCCTCACGAACATGAGGCGTTGCTCTCAATGTGTCGGGAAAAGCGTTGCTGTTTCGATACATTAAACAGCGACATCTTGTGGACTGAAGATGTTATAGCAGGCAGCCTAGATTGAGAGCACAAACACTTTTTCCATTGAATTAGGGCTGTCACTTATGGAAGACGAAACGTGACATACTAGTAAATAAAACAACAAACAAATAAATAAATAGAAAAATATTTTTATTCCAAAGATTTATAGAATTTTTTTTTTTTTTTAATTATTCGAAAGATTTTTTATTCATCCGTATGTAAATGAGGTGCGTTGCCCTAACCATTTTTTAAAGCACTTTTGGCCAGGGGGACTTTGCTGATCTGTGCTCCATTACTTCGGCCTTACTTGGACAAGAAATGCTAGCTGACTTTCATGTTAGTAATGCTAAGTTCACACTACGTGACTTTCCAAGTCATCATATCACTATACCATTCATATGTATAGGGTTCCATTTGTGCCAAAAATATGCTGATATGCGCACTGTCCATGTTGGTTGGACATGTAACAAAACATTTGTCTGTGTCAATATAAAAAAAT